CTTTTTATCTTCTAGTTCTTCTCTTCTTTTTCTTCTTCTTTTTTTTTTGCTTTAGGGCATATTTTTGTTAACCTAAAAATAAAAAGGCCTTTTAAAGTGAGAGGCAGCCCTGGCCAATATAGCTCAGTTGGTTAGAGTGCCATCCCGATACACCACCGTTGTGGTGGGTTCCATTCAGGGCATGTACAAGAATCAACCAAGGCCCTGGCCAGTGTAGCTCAGTGATTTGGGCATTGTCCCGTGCACCTAAGGGTTGCAGGTTTGTTCCCTGGTCAGGGCACGTGTCCAGGCTCAATCCCCAGTAAGGGGTGTGTAGGAGGCAGCCAGTCAATGATTCTCTCTCATCATTGATGTTTCTCTCTCTCCCTTTCCCTTCCTCTCTGAAATAAATAAATATATATATATATATTTAAAAGAATCAATGAATGCATAAATAAGTGGAGCAGCAAATCAATATTTTTCCCTTCCTCTCTCTAAAAATGAATAAATAAAAAATTTAAAAATAAATAAAGTGAGAGGCAAAGGATTTATTTGAGATCAAGGAATAGCTATTTGGGAAGCACTGATTTAGGCCGCAGTCCAAGTAATGTTCTGATTTGGAGACAAAAACAATGGGTATTTATATGAATGAGAAGGGGAAGGGGAACAGTTACATCAATTGAAGGAAGGCATTTTTTTTAAAAAATATATTCTATTGATTCTCTACAGAGAGGAAAGGAGAGAGATAGAGAGCCAGAAACATCGATGAGAGAGAAACATTGATCAGCTGCCTCCTGCACACCTCCCACTGGGGATGTGCCCGCAACCCAGGTACATGCCCCTGACCGGAATCGAACCTGGGACCTTTCAGTCCACAAGCCGACGCTCTATCCACTGAGCCAAACCGGTCTCGGCAGGAACATCCTTGCCTTCATCTCTCCACTTCTTTAGCTGATGTTTCCTCTGTGTATTGCTCTAGGAAGCAGTTTGGACACCTGAGCCCCTGATACACTGTTGCGGGCATCCCCCAGAAACTCTGACTTCCAGTGGCCATGGGGCAGTTGCCTGCCCTACTGCTGTTGCTGTCTTCTCTGTTCCCTTCTAGATGCCTGTGGCTTCATCACTTTTTTAAAAAATTTATTTGATTGACTTCAGAGGAGAGGGAGAGAGAGAAACATCAATGATGAGAGAATCATTGATCGGCTGCCTCCTGCCCGCCTCCTACTGGGGAACGAGCTCACAACCTGGGCATGTGCCCTTGACCAGAATTGAACCTAGGACCCTCAGTCCGCAGGCCGATGCTCTATCCACTGAGCCAAACCGTCCAGGGCTTGCTTTGTACTTTCAATGGAGCCTGACCAGCAGAGCTCCGAAAGTTACTGAGAACAGGATAGCACGGATCCAGGGCTTTTTTTTGCTTGTCCCAAGCTCCTGGGTATTGAGACCATTCATCCCTATTTTTCTGAATGCAGCTTCACTCCTCCTTTCACTATATGGGGCTAATTGTGGTTGACTTCTTATTTCATTTCTCCTTTAAATATGTCCCTCTCCAAGGCTTGTCTTCATCTACCTCCTTGTGCCTATGTGAAGAAACCCCTCAGGTCTCAGGCCTCAGGTGTCGCTGCCTGGCCGACTCTAAGCTCTGTCCCCAGCTCCTGGCCTAGATATTCCCTGGCCTGCCTAGTGCTTTGCTGATTGGTCTTCTTACAACTGAATGAGGCCCGCTCACTCTCAGGCCTCCCCAATCTCCGTCTCTCACTTAAGCTTCCTCTTTTTTTTTTTTTAACCTGTGACCAAAAAAAATCCAGTTGATTCTTCATCATGTCTTCCACGAAGCTGTCAGTTGTTCCTTTTCCATAATTTTTGTGACTTCCTCCCTGCTGGTAGAAACCTGTGTTTGGTGCTGTGTTCTTGGAATGGCCATCTGATCGCAGTCTCCCATTGGATCTGGAGCCCCATCAGGCTTGGCCTTCAGAGCTATCCAGGGCTTTCTCAGCCACCTGCTGCTCCCCAGCCAGGCTGCTTTTCTCCTGATGGTCATTCCTGTTTCTTCCCTTTGTTCTTGTGGCCTTCCCAGCCCCAGCTACAGATCTCCCTGCTGCCCTCTGAGAGACGGCCCAGCTCACTGCCTGCCTCTCGCAGTTCCCATGCCTGTGATGCTGAGTTCCCTGAAACCATCTCCCCCTAAGTGCCATGTGGCCGCCTGTGCTTTCACCCTTGAGCCATGGCACTGGCCCCTTGCACACACGTGACAGCCTGATATGCTGGGCCTCCATTAGGAGCCCAAAGGATGCACTGCAACCGGGAGAATTCCAGCAAAGGCTACATGAAGACAGAGGCCCTGGGCCCCAGGCTGAAGCTGCTGAATGTTTAGGCGAGGCAGTGTTAAGGTGCCTCCAGGACCATGGGGAGGGTGCAATTCAAGTCCCTTTTCCTCACCCTTGCCTCCCTCCAGTAGGTCCCTATCCAGCACTGTCTTAGTTAGCATCTCCATTCAGGCTGTTTGGAATATTCCTGCTCATCGTCACCCCTCCACTCAGATGTTACCTCTACGAAGCCCTTTCCCAGACCCCATCACTATCCTCCTCCCCACTCTCCTGGAACATGGCATTGTGCGTGGAGGTGCTATATCTGTCTCCTCCCCAAGCTTAGAGTCCTAGGAAGGCAGCGACCTTCTGAGCTCTCCCCTGCTCAGTAATGAGCAGAGTAGGTACCTTGTGGCCCACATAGGTGAACAATGTGCAGAGGAATGGCCAGGATTGTCTTGGTCCCTTCCATCTCCAACCCATGTCCTCTGCTCAAGAACTCCAGTGGAACCCTGGAGAGCAGGTGACTGAGTCAGAAGAGCTGCCTTGACCCGCTGTGGCTCTCTATTCTTGTCAAAAGTTACTCTAGACTTCCAAGCCAGAAGAGGGGAACTTTCAGGAAGGCAGCATACTCTAGGGAGAGAGGAGGGCAGCAGAAGAGGAGACAGGCCTTCCTAGAGCCCCACCCCCATTACTGGAGGCCTTGGGCAGAGGCTAGGCTTCGGGGAGATCTGCCGAGGCTTCAAGGTTGGGCTGGGTGATGGCTCCACGCCCTCCTGTCTTCCTGTGCCCTGTCTTCTCCTTGGCTTGCCCTTGCTCCTCTGGTTATTGAGAGAGGATCCTCCCCAAACTTAAGGTTCTAGGCCTGCTGTGTGGTTGAGGGTGTGCTCATCCCATCAGCACAGGCACCACCTCTCCTAGCATTGTGTCCCAGAGCAGGGTGGGGAGTCCAGGAAACTCTGGCCTGAGAGAACAGGACTTACCAGATTGCTTTCCCTGACCAGTGGTCAGACCCTGTGTGTCCTGGGGCTCTTCCAGCATAGCCCTAGGGCCAACAGACTGACCCTGGCCTAACATCTGTGCTGCCAGTATGCAATCTTTGCATGCTTTTCCAGGCCCTCTGTGACCTGAGTGCCTGGGACTCTAGGTGGGACAAAATGTGTCCAGAATCTCCAGCAAGACAGGGGCCCAGTTGCCTGTGTCTCTGTGTGCCTGCTGCAGCCTGTTACAGCTCCACCTGTTAGGTCGGGGCAGCTGAGCTGAACTCCTTGGGAGCATGGGAGCTGTACAGCAGGATTGGGGAGTGCTGAGCACAGGTGGGGGTTTCCCAGCAGAGCAGGAGCCCAGATAAGCCACCCAGCCATAAGGACCTCTGGCAGAAGAAAGGAACAGTTACCTGTGTTTCTTGAGTGCTTGGCTGTGACCATTTCCCCTGAGGGTCACCTCCTGCCCCTGGCACCTTCATTGTTCCCTGTGATAATGGGGTGGCCCTCAGCTGGGTCAGAGCTACCACCAAGGTTCTGGCTCCAGATGCCTGGGCTCACTTTGCCTCCTCCCAACAGCCTTGGGTGCCGCCTATGGTACCGCCAAGAGTGGCACTGGCATCGCGGCCATGTCTGTTATGCGACCAGAGCTGATCATGAAGTCCATTATCCCAGTGGTCATGGCTGGCATTATTGCCATCTATGGCCTGGTGGTGGCAGTCCTTATCGCCAACTCCCTGAATGAAGGAATCAGTCTCTACAGGTGAGTGCTGGGTTCCTCCCACCACACCTGCCCTGCCCTGATTCAGGCCACTGCATAGGGCTGGAGGGCTGGGGAGTGGGCTAGTGGCCTGTGCCTACCATCTTCCCCAACAGGCAGCTAATGTCTATTCTGTGTTCTCTTCCCCAGGAGTTTCCTCCAACTGGGTGCTGGTCTGAGTGTGGGCCTCAGTGGGCTGGCAGCGGGCTTTGCCATTGGCATTGTGGGTGACGCCGGTGTGCGGGGCACTGCCCAGCAGCCCCGACTATTCGTGGGCATGATCTTGATCCTCATTTTCGCAGAGGTGCTGGGTCTCTACGGTCTCATCGTCGCCCTCATCCTCTCCACAAAGTAGCTCCTCTCAAAGCCCACCAGCCACAGGATATGATGTAAAGACCACCCCCTCCTCATTCCAGAATGAACAGCCTGATACACATGCACGGGGCAGCTGCCCCCCTCTACCCCCAAGTAGTTGGTCTTGTAAATGCGCAGTGTCCTAGTGCCCATTGTCTGTTGCCCCAGATTTGACCTGTTCGCACGTCTGTGGAGCAGCCCTACAGTCTCCCAACTATAATAATCTTTAGAGTGTCGCTTTGTGGGGTTACCGTGTGCCCTGAGATCTTTTGTATGGAACCACTGTCCTCCAGCCCTAGCTGCGGGGCCATGAGCTGGGCCTGCGAGGCCCAGAGCCGTGTCCAATAAAATTCTCGGATGTGACTGGACATCTGTGTGTGTGCTTGTGTGGGCCCAGGGGGAGGGGCGGGCTGCTGAGCCGCGGCGTCAGAGCGCCATAGGGTGCGCGGTCACGTGAGCACGCTGGTCACGTGGCGCGCGCTGTAGTCAGCTGAGGGTCATGTGGGTGGGGCCCCGCTCCGGCTCCCCCAGCTGATTTTTTTCGCATCCTGCGGGGCAGAAGGCTGCTCAGGTGGGGCGTGGGGCCGGCGGGCGCAGGGCCTGGCCATGGTGGACACGGGTTGGGTGCAGGGTGCTGGGTCGGCGACACGAGCCCCACCCCTCTCCGCAGGGAGGATCTGTGGGTGCGCGAGGGCCGCATTCTGGACCCAGAGAAGCTCTTCTTTGAGGAGCGGCTCGTAGCCGACCAGCAGCGGGACTGCGGGGGCTGCATCCTGGCGCCCGGCTTCATTGACGTGCAGATCAACGGTGCGGTCGGGGCCTGGGGGTGGAGACCCAGGGGCGGAGCTCGGAGCGCCGTGCGACCTCCTCTCTTCTGCGACCACAGGTGGATTTGGCGTTGACTTCTCGCAGGCCACAGAGGATGTGGGTCCGGGAGTAGCCCTGGTAGCCCAGAGGATCCTGTCGCACGGAGTCACCTCTTTCTGTCCCACCTTAGTCACCTCGCCACCAGAGGTTTATCACAAGGTGAGGTCAGGCGCCCGGCCTCAAGCAAAGGGGGCCCCAGAGGTAGCCAGCTCCTTAATTTTCAGATACCATCTCCTCTCCCCACAATGCCCCTGGGCACTTGGGTCTGACCTGACCTGCTGACCTTCCTCCATCTGGTCCTTCAGGGTCCTGTCCCCTGGTCGTTCTCAAATTCAGGTGTCCCTCTGCCTGCTGCCCTGGGCCCGCTGTCATTTCCGGTCTGTCTGCTGCGGCTGTCCCCACAGGCCTCCACATTTGCTGCCTCAGCACCTTCACCTGCCACATGCCTTTCCCACTCTGTACTCTGGCTACTTCCAGGTTCCAGAATCTGCCTCCTGGATCAAGGCCATGGGGACTTTCCCATTGCCACATCCTTGGCCCCTTCTCAGGCCTTTCCCTGGCTAACCTGCCTGTGGTATATGGTGTGTGGTAACCTTCCAGAGAGAAGCTCCATTGTACTCCAGCCTTTCTCTGCTGCAATGGCCTACACCCACACCCTCCCACTTTACTTCTGACCTGCAAGTCCTGCTGTTCAGGTGTCAGGTGTCCTTTTTCCTTTAAGAAATTTTACTTTTCATGCAGCTTCTTCACTTTACTCTTTGCCACATTTAATTATTTGGTCTCATTCTCTGTGTGTATGTTCTTTTTTTCCTGAGGTGTTTGAGAGTAGGTTGTATAGGTTGTGCCTCTTCTTAACTATTTCTTAAAAGCATGGGTATTCTGTTGTGTAGGCATAATAGAGTTATTGAGTTTAGGAAATTGTTATCTTTTAAACTACCATCTTTGTTCCAATTTTGTAGTATTTTTTCTTCCAGTACAGGATCCATTCCAGAATCACTGATTGCGTTGCCCTCTGTGGGGTTCCCTCCTGGGAGTGTGGAGATAGCACCAGAGCCAGGAGCTGTGCGAGGTGGAGGTGGGCTCCTGACTTCTATCATCTGTCAGCTGGGAGACTTGGGAGACTCCTTACTCCTTCTGAGCCTCTGTTTCCTCAAACCTAAAGTGAGAATAATAATGACATTCATCCTTTAGAGTTGTTGGGTGCCCAGCACTGTGCTTGGTACATATTAAGCACTAGCTAAATGTCAGCTATGGGCATCGTTCTGGAAATTTATCACAGCTCTCCCATCACAGAATCGGATGTTAAAAACCAAACTCATCTTCCTGCCACAGACTGGCACCTGATTCCGTGCTTGCTCTCCTGGTCATCATCCTATGATTTACCGAACCTGGAATCCTGGAACATGCTCTCCCTCCTACTTCTTTGTTCTTTGTCTTCCCCCTTCCCAGTCCCCACCAGTGAGGCTTAGTGACTGTTATCCTAGTCTCCTGAAGAGTGTACAGGGCTCAGCACCACACTCACGCTCCTGCTCCGCTCTTATCTGCAGGATAAACACCACCTTCCCAAACCTTCTCTCCCTACCTGCCAAGCATTTGCTCTGCCCAGGTACGTTCCAGCGATTCCAGGCCGTTGCTCTTCTGCCCACCCCACCCCTCACCCCCAGCCCCCTGCCTTTCTATGTCTGCCGCACCAGCTGGTTCACATCCTTCCCCATCTACCTGTGCAGTACATTGGCCCTTCATGATACAAACTGTGAGATCTTTTTCCTTAGGAGAAGGAGCTTCTGGGAAGACTCTTATTTTCTTCCCAGCACTCACCAACCCCCTTAAACCCTCACAGGATAAAGACCTTGGGAAGCAGAGGATAAACTGATTTATAGTGGAAATTGTTGAAGGCTTTGAACATAAAAATGTTAACACAGGTATCATCTTAGAAACTACAGGACTGCTCACTTGGCTGTCTCCCCTACCCCTACTCCCATCCACCCCCCCTTCTTCCATGGCCCATTCATACTGAGCAGAACTAGATTGCCTCTTTGTCAGAGTTATCCAGGTTTTGTCATTGTGCTCTGGTCCATTGAGACTACCTGCTCTTTTTCTGGGGGTGTCCTCCAGTCTTGCCCTTTTCTGTCCTTCCAGGAGGAAGGTTGGCTTGCACTGTTCTCTGCTTCTCTGAGACAAGATCAGGTACCTCCTCAGGGGCAGCCAGGCCATGGCTTCTGGCCCCTGCATCTTCTACACTCTGACCTCTCCCACTTTTCCCTCCCTTGTCGGTGCCTCATTCCCTTCACCTCTAGACTGTTTTTTATTCTGTTCTCTCTACTTAATGCTCTCGCTTTCCCTCTTAAAAGTCTGTTCTGGAAAAACTCATCCATTGTCTTTTCTTTCATCTTTAGTGAACTTATATATGTTATAACTTACATGGCTTATTAGGAAAAATAGTAGCCCTTTGCCCCCTCACTTCTCACTGAGGGACAGTCACTTTCTTTATTTTTTATATATTTTTTAATGGGGCAGTCACTTTCAACTCAGTTGACCCTTTGGAATTTACCCTTATATCTCTAAAAACTATGCTGGTACTCCTGCTTGACTTTTCAGTTTAGAGCGGTATTATTGGCTTCCCATCAGGAAAGATGATTGGCTCTCTTTGGCCTCTTTTAGCTCTTTCGCTTCTTATCCTCCCCAAATAGTTTCTTGCAATTTTTGTTAGATTAGTCACTGGGACTGTGTAAAAAGGACTTGTAGCTCATTTACATTTAAAAAAAAATCCTCACCTGAGGATTTTCCATTGCTTTTAGATAGAGTGGAAGGGAGAGAGCAAAGGAAGGGGAGGGCAGAGAGAAAGAAAGAGAAACATCAGTGTGAGAGACTTATTGATTGGGTGCCTCCTGCATGCTGACCAGGACTGGGAATGGCCTGCAATCCAGGTATGTGCCCTTGACTGGGAATCCAACCCAAGACCCTTTGGTGCTCAGGACTGACACTAACCACTGAGAACACCAGCCAGGGCTACAAGCCAAACCGGTTTTGGCTTAAAATATTTTTTTAAATTGAGTTTTAGAGAGAGAGGAAAGGAAAGGGAGAAAGAGAAACATCATTGTGACAATGGAGCATCAATCAACTACCTCCTGCACGGCCGAACCCCAGGCCTGTGCCCTGACGGGGATCAAACCAGCAACCTTTTGGTTGTAGGGCAGCCGTGAGCAAACTACGGCCCGCGGGCCGGATCCGACCTGTTTGAAATGAATAAAACTATTGAAAAAAAAGACGGTACCCTTTTATGTAATGATGTTTACTTTGAATTTATATTAGTTCACACAAATACTCCATCCATGCTTTTGTTCCGGCCCTCCGGTCCAGTTTAAGAGCCCATTGTGGCCCTCGCGTCAAAAAGTTTGCCCACCCCTGGTGTAGGGGATGATGCTCCAATCAACAGCCACATGGGCCAGGGCTGCATAGTTTATCTGCTGACTTAATTCCAGGCTTTCTGCCAGTTGTCTCTTTCCTCTTTTGGGATATTTAGACAGACTAAGGATTCCATCTGTTTCGTCGTTTTGTGGAAGCCTTGGGACCTTCTTTTCCAGCACTGGCTGCTGGCCTTACCTGGTCAAGCTGTCCTGGGAGTCCCCTGACCCTCACTCGGAGGGGGTCCTCTGTCCGCTTTCTGCTGGATCTTTCTGTATCCTGTGTCTTCCTCTCTGCTGGTTTACACTTTTGTTTGGTGGAGCACATCCTCCAGTGACTTTCGGAGAGAGGGGTCGTAAGATGTAAAGGTTTTGAGATCTCAGTAGTCCAAAACGTTGTCTCTGGATTGATGGCTTGGCTAAGTTAGAATTCTAATTGAGGAGTCATTTTTCTCTGGAATTTTAAAGGCATTTAACTTCCAGAGTAGCTAATGAAAACTTGGAAACCATCTGACCCCTGATCCTTTGTGTGTGACCTGTTTCTTCCCTCTGGAAACATGGAATCTCCCCTTTGTCCCTGGGTTCTAAAGTCTCAGGGTGACGCCCGAGCCACTTTGGCTCAGTGGATAGAGCGTCGGCCTGTGGACTGAAGGGTCCCAGGTTTGATTCTGGGCAAGGGCACATGCCTGGGTTGTGGGCCTGATCCCCAAAAGGGGACATGCAGGAGGCAGCTGATCAGTGACTCTCTCTCATCATTGATGTTTCCATCTCTCTATCCCTCTTCCTTCCTCTGTGAAATCAATAAAAATATATTTTAAAAAGCAAATAAATAAATAAAAATGAAAAATAAAGCCTCAGGGTGACATTTTGGGGACTTGGGGGAGCTCGTCTATTTTGCTGGCCTTTGTTGGGCCCTGTCAGTCTGGAAGTCCTGTTTTGGGTTTTTTTGTTTATTTGTTTGTTTGTTGTGGTTTTGTTGTGTGTGTGTTTTTTTGTTTTGTTTTTTTTCTTTTCTTGAATTATTTCTTTGATGATTTTTCTCCACATTTCTCTGTCTTTTCCTTCTGGGAGTTATTGTGCTGTTGGGCCTCCTGGATGGCGACTCTCCTATTCTCTCCTTTCTTCCTCGTTGACTGTTTTCTGAATATTCTCTTAGCTTTTTTTATCTTCCAGTTCTTCTCTTCTTTTTCTTTTCTTCTTCTTCTTCTTCTTTTTTTTTTTTGCTTTAGTGCATATTTTTGTTAACCTAAAAATAAAAAGGCCTTTTAAAGTGAGAGGCAGCCCTGGCCAATATAGCTCAGTTGGTTAGAGTGCCATCCCGATACACCACCGTTGTGGTGGGTTCCATTCAGGGCATGTACAAGAATCAACCAAGGCCCTGGCCAGTGTAGCTCAGTGATTTGGGCATTGTCCCGTGCACCTAAGGGTTGCAGGTTTGTTCCCTGGTCAGGGCACGTGTCCAGGCTCAATCCCCAGTAAGGGGTGTGTAGGAGGCAGCCAGTCAATGATTCTCTCTCATCATTGATGTTTCTCTCTCTCCCTTTCCCTTCCTCTCTGAAATAAATAAATATATATATATATATTTAAAAGAATCAATGAATGCATAAATAAGTGGATTATTGATGAAATTTGAGAGATCCAAAGAGCTTTGGTGTGAATAACATTATTAGCATATTACATTTAACTGTAAGGTGTTAAAAAATATTTATCAATACAAAGCAAGTTTTCATTGATTTATTTTCTCCTACTGGGGATGTGCCCGCAACCAAGGTACATGCCCTTGACCGGAATCGAACCCGGGACCTTTCAGTCCGCAGGCCGACGCTCCATCCACTGAGCCAAACCGGCTTCGGCAGGAAGGCATTTTTATTGGTGTGGATAATATAACAGTTGATGTTAATGCTTTTATAATTAAATAATAATATTAAATATTATTTTTTGAGAGAGTGAGAGAGGAGAGAGACATTGATGTGAGAGAGAAACATCCATTGGTTGCCTCCTGATGGGATTGACCCCACAACCCGGGTATGTGCCTTAATCGGGAATCAAACTTGTCACCTTTTAGTGTATGGGACAACGCTCCAACCATTGAGTCACACCGGCCAGGGAAATAGTGATGTTAATTCTAAACAATCTTTTTAATTTTCAGTGTAGTAGTCATAATAACTGCTTTCTTGTTATCTTTGCAAACAGTTCTTTGGGATACAATGTTACTTAAGCCCAGTCCAGATGGTTTATTTTGCCCTGTTTTGATATTTCAAAAATGTAAGATATAAGATGTGCAAGGGAGTTGCTCTGGCATGGTAACTCTGGTTCCATTATATAGTGACATTTATTACATATTTTGGGCACTTTAATGTGCAAGTGCTTGCTTTCCCCCCGTAATGTTCTTTTTTTCTAACATCCCATTCTTTTTGTTATTGTTTGTTTTGTTTTAAGAATAGTTTATTGATTTTTATTTATTTATTAATATAACGGCTTTTTAAAAAAAAAAATCTTTATTGATTTCAGAGACAAAGGGAGAAGGAGAGAGAGATAGAAACATCAATGATGAGAATCATTGATCATCTGCCTCCTGCATGCCTCCTGCTGGAGATAGAGCCCGCAGCCCAGGCATGTGCCCTTGGCTGGAATCGAACCTGGGACCCTTCAGTCCGCAGGCTGATGCTTTATCCACTGAGCCAAGCTGGCTAGGGCAGTTTATTGATTTTTAGAGAGAGGAAGGGAGAAGAGAGAAACATCAGTGTGACAGCATAACCTTGATTGCCTGCCTCTTGCACACTCTCTACTGGGGATTGAGCCCACAACCCAGGCATGTGCCCTGACCGGGAATTGAACCAGCAGCTGCCTGGTGCATTGCAGGACGCTCCAACAAACTGAGACACACCGGCCAGAGCTCACATCCCATTCTTATTTCATGGGTATGAGACCTCTCTTGCTTGTTCTCCTTTCCTTGGGTGTTTGCTCCCGACCAGGTGTGTCCTTTCAGAGGCTTCCTCAAGCTGGTAGGCCTTGGTCATCTATTCTGATTGAGAGCAGTTCTCAGCTAGCCACCGGAGCACCAGGGGGTGTTCCTGAGAGCACCCTTAGGTTGAGATCCCTGAGTCCTTCCTCCTGAGCTGGTCAAATCCCCAGAGAAGAATCTTGTTCTGTTCAGAGAGAACAATCCTGACCGGTGACATTCAGGGAGCATTAAAAATATAAACTTCAGCCCTATCCGGTTTGGCTCAGTGGATAGAGCGTCGGCCTATGGCCTGAAGGGTCCCGGGTTTGATTCCGGTCAGGGGCACATGCCTGGGTCGCAGGCTCGGTCCCTGGTGTGGGGCATGCAGGAGGCAGCCAATCAATGTGTTTCTCGCATCATTGATGTTTCTATCTCTCCCTTTCCCTTCCTCTCTGAAATCAATAAAATATATACTTCAGCCCTAGCCGGTTTGGTTCAGTGGATAAAGCATCGGCCCGCAGACCGAAGGGTCCCAAATTCGATTCTGGGCAAGGCATGTGTACTTTGGTTGCAGGCTTGATCCCTGGCCCTGGTTGGGGTGCATTCGGGAGGCAACCAATCAATGTGTGACTCACACATCATGATGTTTCTCTCTGTCTTCCCCCTCCCTTCCATTCTCTAAAAATCAATGGAAAAATATCCTTGGGGATATATATATAAACTTCAGGCCCTGGCCAGGTAGCTCAGTTGGTTAGAGCATTGTCCCAGTGTGTCAAGGTTGCAGGTTCAATCCCTGGTCAGGGCACATACAAGAATCAACGAATGAGTGTCTAAATAAGTGGAACAACAAATCAATGTTTTTCTCATTCTCTCTCCTTCCCTCCCTCCCTCCCTCTCTCCAAAATCATATACATTTCATTTTAATTGCCCCATTTTCTGCTTCTATCCACTTGTGTGGTTTACTTCTCTAGGCTCTTGGCAGGGCATACTCGGGGATCCAGCTGGTCTTTAAGGAGGCTCCTGCTGTTTGTCCCCCCACTTCTCAAGGCACCAGGTGTTGCCGGCCTGAGCCCATTGGGGCTTTGGGGCCCTGTTTCCTTCCTTTCCCCACAGTGCATGGCTGCCCACATCTGCCCAGCATCCACTTGTTGGGCTCCAAGCAGGGTCAGCATACCCTTCTCCTGTCCTCTCTGTCACACCAGGTTTAAGGCTCTTAAATATCTCTGTCCTATGTCCCAGGCTCACCCAGGGACTTGACAGTATCCTCTGGGCTCCTTCCCCACCTTGAAGGAGGGAGATGTGGGCTGGGACGCCTGCCTGCCCACCCACCTCCAGGATCACTACATTGTGTGAGCACCTGTCACACACAAGTGACCCTCACAACTGTGTCCAGCTCTAGGCACAGGATGGCCGTCCTGTCAGTGCCTGAAACCCTGCTTTTGCCCCTTGCTCTGCCTGGATTGCACATACTCCTTCTGCCTCTGGCCTTAGGGATGCCAGGCCCATCACCCTGTCTGGGTCCAAACCCTTGGGCATGCTGCCTGGACCATCCCTTGGACCATCTCGAGGACCATGCACCTGACCCTTGCCTGGGGGTCTCCTCGCCTCCTGGTTCTCATAGGCAGGCCAGTCTTACATCCCAGGCCTGTCATTCTTGGTGCCGCTGACTGCCCTGCTGGTTCTGAGCGCCATGCTTTCCCTGACCATGGTTGGAGGCCTTTGACCATCTTCTAATACCTGATGGAAGGCCAGTGAGCACTAGACTAGGCTCGGAACTGTGACCTTGGCTGGGCTGTAACGTTGGTGCTGGGCCATTGGGGGCAGGGCTTTAACAGCTGGTTCCCCCCAGGTCCTTCCTCAGATCCCTGTGAAGAGTGGTGGCCCCCATGGGGCAGGGGTCCTCGGTGAGTGGCTGACCCCTCTCCTCGCCCCCACCCTGGGAGGTTCCTATGGGACCTGTTGGCAGCCCCTACTCTTCCAGATGCCCAAATGGGGTGGGAGGGTGGGCAGGTGAGAGGGGCAGGGGCTGCAGGGTGAGAGGCCTGCTGGAGCCATCCACTCCCTCCTACCAGGTGTGCACCTGGAGGGCCCATTTATCAGCCGGGAGAAGCGGGGTGCACACCCCGAGGCCTACCTGCGCTCTTTTGAGGCCAATGCCTTCCACGATGTTCTGGCCACCTACGGGTCCCTGGACAACGTTCGCATTGTGACGCTGGCTCCTGAGTTGGGCCGTAGCCATGAGGTGATCCGGGCACTGACGGCTCGGGGCATCTGTGTGTCCCTAGGTGAGGGGGTATGTCCCCACCCGAGGGGGAAGGCAGCCTGGGGCTCCTGGGCTGGTGGCAGAATCTGAGTGCAGGTGCCTGTGCAGGGCACTCCGTGGCTGACCTGCAGGTTGCAGAGGAAGCCGTGCTGAGCGGCGCTACCTTCATCACCCACCTCTTCAACGCCATGCTGCCTGTGAGTGCTGCCCCGGCTCCCGGTGGGTGGGCTGGGGGCTCCTGCTGTCGCTCAGCTTCTCCATCCTGGCCCTGCCAGTTCCACCACCGGGACCCTGGCATCGTGGGGCTCCTGACGAGTGACCGGCTGCCCCCCGGGCGCCACATCTTCTACGGAATGATCTCCGATGGCATACACACCAACCCCGCAGCCCTGCGCATTGCCCACCGGGCCCATCCCCAGGGTGAGCGGCTGGGCAGGGTGGGGGCAGGTAGGAGGACCATGTGGGGCAGCTCTTGAGGCCTCTTCATCCCCAGGGCTGGTGTTAGTCACCGACGCTGTCCCTGCCCTGGGCTTGGGCAATGGCCGACACACGCTAGGGCAACAGGAGGTGGAAGTGGATGGGCTGACGGCCTATGTGGCAGGTGAGTGACCATGGTCCCCACTGGCTGCCCACATTAGAAGAGCCCCTCAGCCCCTCTGGTGGGATGCAAGAACCTAGGTGTCCCCGGCCGACCCACACCCCATCCAGTGTGCCTGGTGGCCCTTGCCCTCCACCCCCCAGAGCCTGCCCTCTCTGCTCTCAAGGCACCAAGACACTGAGTGGCAGCATAGCTCCGATGGACGTCTGCATTCGGCATTTCCTGCAGGCCACAGGTCAGCGAGGCTGGTGTGTGTGTGTGTGTGTGTGTGTGTGCATGTTGGGGGTGGAGGTTGCATCTGAGAGAAGCTGGACATCCCTGTCTGTCATGTCTAGTGGGACATGACAGGAGTGGGGCTCCTTAGGGATGGGCATTTGTAAGTTGGTAAGGTCCCACCCATAGGGAGGGGGAGAGGAGGACAAGCAAGCAAAGAGCTGGAACCCAGGGTGACAGGCACCCAAGCCAGGGCACCCAAGACTTTGCCCCACATGAGAGCAGGGCATTGGTTCGGGGCCTATGGGATTGCAGGACTTAGCAGGTACAGAGCTGTGATGAGGTGGAGGGGGCCAAGGCAGCAATCCAGGCTCCAGGGTCGGGCTGTGTGTTCTGGGGGAGGTGGGTCGGGGTTATCTGGCAGAGGTTGTGGTTGGCCAGGCCCCATGGGGCTCTTCACAACACCTGGGTAGGGTGTCATCTGGGAGCTGAGGGTCACCAGGGTCCAAGATGCTGTTTAGAGCAGCAAGGAGACAGGCTGGGAGGCAGGAGACAGCTGTGGCCTGGCCTGGGAGTGATGCAGGAGGCGGAGGAAATTGGGTTTGGTTATTTGACTTCTTGGTAGGGGCAGAGCACCAAGTCCTAGGTGGCCTCATGGATGCCCAGGGTACTGCTTTCTTGTGGGGGTGCTCTCCCTGGGACCCAGAAGGAGGGTCCCCACAGGGTTGGGATGGGTGAGTGGCTGCGAGGGATGAGACTGGGGGGTCTTGTCGACCTGCTGCAGAGTCCTGGGATATGTCCTCCCAACCCTAGGACTTGGAGCTCCAGGGCTGTGGGGGCGGGGTGAGGATGGTCACCCAGTGTGTCTCCTGAGCAGGCTGCAGTGTGGAGTCGGCCCTGGAGGCTGCGTCACTGCACCCCGCCCAGCTACTGGGACTGGAGAAGCTCAAGGGAACCCTGGACTTTGGAGCTGATGCAGGTCAGGGTCCAAGGTGGGGTGGCCTGGGCAGCCTGAAGATTCAGGAGTTCTTGGGAGGCCTGGGTCAGGGACAGGGTGGGCAGAAGGGTAGAATCTCCCCAACGTCCAGGCAGCCTCACCCAGCACCAGCCTCAGCCTGGCCCCACTCCCCCAGCGGGCCAGGCTTCTGACATCTGAGACTAGCTTGGGCAGGGGGCTTCCTGGTCCCTTATTCCTTCCTCCCACTGCCAGAGTCTCAGTTCCAGGGCCTCCTTCAGTCTGTGCTCGGTCAGAGTATCCTCTCCTGCACAGGTTGTCTCCCAGGCTTTGGCTTTCCCACCCGCCTTGGGCTGGGGTAGGAGGGGCAGCCCCACCCCTGCCTCCTGCTCACAGTCCACCTTTGACCCAGACTTCGTGGTGCTCGACGACTCCCTCCACGTTCAGGCCACCTACATCTCAGGCGAGTTGGTGTGGCAGGCGGAGGAGGCCAGGCAGTGACCTGGGACCACAGCTGGAAAGGACCCTGACAATACTGGGCTGCTGAGGAGCTGGTCTCCGAGGAGTGAATGGGAACCCTGCCCCAGGTGAATGACCTTAGCCCTGGAGGCGACTGGCTTGGATAAACCATCTACCCCAAAGGGACTTGCCTGGTCTCTGAGTTTTGCTTCAAAGCAGGCTTCTTGCTGTTTCCACTGTCACCCTGGTGGCCCTCCTGAGGCTGGGGGTTGGGGTTGTGGCTTAGGATTGGGAGTGGATGGACTCCAGCTCAGCCCAGCCTTGCAAGGAGGCGTCACGGGTCTGTTAGAAGGGTGTGTGTGAGGCCTGCAGACTTGCAGGCAGGTGTGTCATTTGGAAATGAATGGAGGGGCGGGAGGGGGAAGCCACAGGCTATAGGTTGAAAAGCTGAAAACTGGCAGGAAGAGGCTGGGGGACAGTGAATGGGGACAGCTTCAGAAGTTTGCCTGTTGTGGGGCTGAGGGAAAGGGTACATCTTGGAATTTTAAACAGGAGAGCATTGGTCTTAGAGACCTGAAGAATATGGGCAAGGAATGTCTTAGTTTGTGCTCTCAAGGGGGCACTACAGAGGTTTGGGAGGTAGGTGTGTGGGTGTCCTGCGGTCTCGCTCTCTGCACATCACCCAGCACTCCTCTCTGACCTTCAGAGGGATCCACACTGGCCTCCGGACCCCAGGTTGCCGAGCTCTGATTTCAGGAGGCAGTGGTTGGAGGACCCCTGAGCTGACCGTGGCCACTGCTCCCTGGCCTGCCTGACTGGACCAGCCCCCACAAGATCATCCAGGCTCTGAATCTTTTGGGATCTTTTCTGAACAACCCAACTCCCAAGAGGGCTCCAGGAGCCATCCTGTACTCGTGTTTGTACAGCTGTAGGTAACCCTGTCTGGTGTTGGTGGGCAGTTTGTGGTCACCAATGTCCTGTGCCCTGCAGGACCCCACCTCCGAGTCTCCTCTCCCTGGCAAAGGTCCTTGGGAGAGAGCAGATGAGCCCGGCTAATAGGTTAGCAGCTGAGCAGCGGCTGTTGGCACTTTCCTGGTACTGGGCCTCGTTCATGATTATGGGTATTCACTTGCTCCATTCGCTGCCGAAAATCCAAAGGGCTGTCCTGTTGGTCATCTGGGGCACTGAGCCCCAGAGCTGGTGGGCATCGGGCCAGCACTTGGCCTGGCCTAGCCAACCGCGGGAGCCTTCCTTAGACCTGTCCGCTCTCTGGGTGGAGAGCCGTGGAGGGACTGGTTGAGATGGTGGCCAGCCAGGTGACACCAGAGATGACAGGAGCCAGCACGGCTGGGAAGAAAGAGCACTCAGGCAAAGGGAGCTGCCCCACAATGCACAGTATTAGTGCAGCCGTGGGCAAACTACGTCCCGCGGGCCGGATCCGGCCCGTTTGAAATGAATAAAACTAAAAAAAAAAAACAACGCT